AAAGTCTCTCCATGGAGACTTCTTTCTAAAAAAGGGAATTTATTTGGGTTTTGGTTTTGAAGTTGTTTCTTTTCCTTGATTTGTTTTGTTGGGTTTTTCTTTTCCTTTAATAAGAAGATAAATTCCAGACAGGAATATTTTTTTTTTCCTATTACTACTTAAGCTTCTCAAAGGATATTACAAAGAAAGAAAGTAATGTAAAATGTATCAGACTTCCAAAAAATTGTGTGACATTTTCCCTTTCATAAAATAAGAGAAACAAGGCATCTGAGTTTCTATGGATTTATGGGGAAAATAGCTTATGTCTTAGGTCATAGTCTTGCTGAAAGTAAGAGGTAATTTGTGTGCATATGAAGGCCCAAATGCAGTGAATGACTAATACACTGGTTACTGTCTCCTGCTTTTGGCATTCCCTGTATTTGTTAACTTTCCTTTTCAGCTAGTAAACCCCAGATTAAAAGTCATCCATAAAACGTGGGAAAAATGATGAAGGGAGAAACAGTTGTCCAAAACTTGCTTTCATAAGGCCTAGAATTACTAATGATGGCCCAGGAATGTAGCATGAGTTAGGTAGATGTGCTGGGGTAGAGTTTATTTCCTTCACAGTGACTGGTATGGGGCAGTGTTTCTAATCTGCACTTAACGCAGGGTTGACAATATAGAAATGTTTTTGCTATTGCTGAGCAGGGCTTACACAGAGCCTTTTCTGCTTTTCCTACTGCCACACTGGTGAGGACCTTGGTGATGCATGGGAGATTGGGAGAGGACACAGCCAGGACAGGTGGCACCAACTGACCAAAGGGACATTCCAGACCATCTGACATCATGCTCAGAATATAAAGTTGGGGGGAAGAAGGAGGAAGGGGGGGACATTTAGAGTGATGACATTTGTCTTCGCAAGCCACTGTTATGTGTGATGGATCCTGCTCTCCTGGACATGGCTGAACACCTGCCTACCTCATAAAAACACACCCCAAAAAGAAAACCAGAGCGGGGCCTCCATTGGTGCTGCCTCAGCTCTCTGCCTGCAAGAATGAAAGGCAAAGAGCAAGAGCCATGGGCAGGAAGAGAGAGCTCTGCCTCTTAACCCCGACTTTAAAGAGACCAGCACCTGCTGGCCCCGCAGTTCCATTTCTGGATCCAGCATCTTAAAGAGACACTTTAGATACAGATAGATACAGAGTACAGTAAACCTTTGGGTTACCCAGGACATTGGGTGCATGACAGTTCTGGACTTTTTTTCTTCATGGTTAAAGAATTCATTCTATTTACTGTGTCTGGAAAAAGATGCCCCAACTGGTTTTGGTCAGGTAACAATGGCTTCCCAGCAGAGCTGGACTTGGTAGGAATAAGTTAATTTTGAAAAGATCTTCGAGAGAGAAAGAGCATCTTTGAAAAGAAATGGAACTGATCAGTTGGGAAAACGTCAGCAGTGCTTTTCTTTGTGCTGAGAACCAACCACAATTGCAGCTGCCTGCTGACCTTGTGAACATTTGCAAAATACTGTGCCTTGATTGGGGGAAGCTTGCCAGTAGTTGAAGCTGAATGCTGTAAAAGAAAGCATGTTTTTTTTAGTCTGTGTGAAGTGGAAGGAGGAACTACTTAGAATTGTGTAAAAATTACTTGTTTTACATTTATAACTTGTCAGCCCAATGCCTTGTGAATTTGGAATGTGAAACTGATCTGAGAGTGAGCTGGGGACTTCATTACTGCAGGTTGAAAATAAGTGTTTTGATAAACCATGCTATCTGCTTCATGGATGAGAGTATGTTTTGCTTGCTTCAGAGAAATTCTTGTCTCCATAGGCTTGGGGTTATAGACAGTTTACAATTTTGTTTGTATTTCCATTGTCAGATTCTAGTTGTCAGCTTTTTGATGAAGAGGTAGTTGCACATTTAGCTCAAATTGTACTACTTTGTATTGTTTTTAAAGTAAACTCTGAGGTAATGGATAGAACCCAGACTGCTGGAATTACAGCACTTCTACTTTCCTGCACTTGATCCATCAAAGAAAGTTTAGTGTGCACCTCAACAGGACAGTACTTTCTCTGTTATCTGTTATGTCTATTTTTGGCTGGAAATACTTGTTTTTGGAAAAGCAGTAGTTTACATGCCCATTTAGTTTCATTACTTCTTTTCCTTGATCATCTGTAGAAGCAAATAATGCTGCCTACTGTGAGGGTGGTGAAGCATTGGAGCAAGTTGCCCAGGGAAGCTGTGGATGTCCCATCCCTGGAAGTGTTCAAGGCCAAGCTGGATGAGGCTCTGAGCAACTAGATCTGGTGGACACTGTCCCATCCTGTGGCAGGGGAGTTGGAATAAGATGATCTTTAAGGTCCTTTCTAGCCCAAGCCATTCTATGATTCTGTCTGTGACTGTGGAGTTTGTTACAGTAATATCTCTGCACAGATAACTGATTTGAAACTGCAATGAAATTCCACACAGCTGCAGTGGTATTACCAGCAACAGCTGTCATGTTCTGTGCTCAAATTCAGCCTTTGGTGCAAAAAACTCTGTGTCCCTGTGGCACATTTCTGTCCTGAGCCTCTGCCTGGATTCCAGACCTAATTTATGTGTCTAAAACTCTGTAATATGATCACTCTGGGATCTTTTTTAACCAGTACCTATGGAATAGCAGAATTCAGGTTAGAAAATTAAGGACAGTACATCTGCTTAGTGTATAGTAAAATACTCCAGACATACATCAGGTAATTCTGAGAGTGGAATTTAAATTTGTATTATTATTTTGATTGTTACAATTAGAATCTACAGATTTATGAACTACTCTGTGTTGAGAAATGGAGATTGATGCACACTAAACAGTAATCTACTCATCCATCATGAAGTTTCTGCTAGAGTTCCATTTAATTTCCAAACAGAAGAATTCATTATCTATCTCCAGAGAATCTTTTTTTTTTTTTTTTTTACTTAAGGATCAGCGTGTGCAGTGAGCTATCAGACAGCATTCTACAGCAAACAAGCAAGGAAGCAGCTGTCTTTAGCATGCAGCTATGGAACTAAAGAATAAAAAATTTCCATGGGCAATGCAGAAGTACAGGGAGTTATCTAGTGTCCCAAGAGAGTTAAGAAATATTGGTCCAACTCATTGCCTTGCCAGTTTTGCTGTGTAATCTACAGTGGGAGACATTGATTTGCCAGCATAGTCTTATTTGTTTTTTTCTATCTAAAACTATTCAGTGTAATTTGTATCCAGTTTGTGCTTAAAAACATGTTCTGTAGCTGTGGGCAGTGTGGTGTCCCAGGAAGTTGGTTTCACTGGGGTGCAAGGTATAGCCCGGGTGCTGTATCTTGTCCTCGAAGTGCTGAGCCCTCTGTAGGCAATGTTAGTTTCTTTAATTCAAACCTTCTGGTTAAAATGGCCCTACACCAAATAAATCTGACTCTTCCAAAAACACATATGGACTCTAATGTATATTTCCTTGTGAATTCTGGCAGTGCAGCCTAGTTCAGGGGTGTGTCCTTAAAGCAGAATCACAGAAATGGCTTTCTGGAATAGTTCGCTAACAACTCCTCAAGCCCTTTGACAACCAACACAAAACTCTGCATGGTGTTCCAAATGACAGGACAAAAACTTTCTGTGTCTTTCAGACAAACAGATCCCAAAACTGAAGTTTCTGATCATATAATTTAAAATATCTGTTTTCAGTGAATGCCATACAGGGGCTAATTCCTTTAGGAAGGCTGACAGTCAGTTGGCTGCTCAGTACAGTACTTTCCAGTATAAAAATAAACTGCAGATGTTTGACACAGAAATGTCAGGATATTTAACTTTGGGTTAGGGTTTGCAGATGTCCTGTGTGTTGTGGAAACTAAATCCCCGCCTTAGGGTGACAGAGGGAAGAGGTACATGGCACTAAAAGCTGAGAAGCAATGTCCTGTGTGTGACCAATGCATCCTGACCTGTGGACACTCTGTCCTTTTTGATGTTTAAAAAAACTCTGTCACCGCTGTCATTAGTAGTGAACTGTTAGACGCTTTTGAGGATGGTAGTTTTTTTATTGAGGAGTTCAGTTGCCAGGTGATTTTCTCCCTCTTACAGAAATGTCCCCATAAGAATGAAGTTTTGTGTAGCCCTTTGATGTTCTCACTGCACATAGCATTGTTTCATCAGAGCAGTACCCAGGAAGCAGAGGTAAATTTGGACATGCACAATCAAGTTCTTGCTTACCCCAGAGCATTTTTGTTGACAGATTGGTCTAAATGTTTCACCTCTTGAATTGTTTTAAATCCTCTTTAAAAGACCTGATGCATGCATTTATGTTGGTGCTGTTTTGTTTGTTTTCAAAGCAGTAGAGTAAGTCTGCCAGCTTTGGACTTTGCAAGTCTTGAGAAATGGCTGAGTTTGGACAGTTTATCTGAACACGATGCTTACAGCTGTGTTTCATTGAATGCACTTAATGGCAGACATGACAGACCCATTTGTTCATTTTCAGAGTAGTAACTGATTACATTTTCTCTTGGCTATCATTCAGCTAAAGTTGCATTGTCCTGTGCATTGTTTCCTTTCTCAGCTGCTAAGTCATTATTTTGGAAACAACTCTCCATTTTGTTGGATTTTTTTAGTATGGGGAGTGAGTTGGTATTTTTTGGTTGGGTTTTTTCCGTTTTCTTGGGAGAGGGACAGGGATTGTGTTTTGGGTTTTTGCTGTTTTGTTGTTTGAGTGATTTCGGGGCGTGTGTATTTTGGGGAGAAATGGAGCAATGTTGATTTTTGCTTGGTAGTACTATTACATAGGTTTCCTACAGTTTTAGGATTCAGTTCCAGGATCTTCTTCATTTCTCCCTGTTTATTCCAGCCTGGCTTTACTGTGATATTTAGTGGGAATTCGTCTTTATGCAAAATGAGTGCAGCTGCACCCTAGAACATACGGATTTTTTACTTTTAGACCAGCAAAAATATATAATATTTTTAAAAGTTAAAATAAAACATGACTGGTTGATAGCCCAGTAATTTACATCTCTTATGGTTTATTTGTCTAGGGAGGCAGCAGCAGCTGGAGGCTGAGGACCCATACGTGGAGGCTGATCAAGACCTGCACAAGAGGGTGGAGCGTTCTGTGGAGCCGCCTACAGAAAGACCCGGGGAGAGGCGCATGGCAGAAATGAAGAAACTGTATGGTGCTGAAGCTGCCAAAATCCAGGCAATGGAGGCTGCCATGCAGCTTATCTTTGATAGGAACTGTGACAAAAAGCAGCCCAAATACTGGCCCATTATTCCCCTTAAGCTGTAAGTACCCAGACTGTGCTCTGACACGGTGCAGTGCTATAAGGTCAGGTGCCTCAGGTTGGGCTGCTGACAGAGCAAACTGCACATTTTGGTTTTGGGCTTTGGGGGAGTGTCTAGCAAGGACAGCATGTATTTCTTTGGCCATTTTTTTCTTTTACAGTGTCTGTCAGTGATGCTCACAGTCCATTCATCCTACATACAGTTGTCAAGTAGTAATAGGAGGGACTGTAATATCAAACCTGTCTAAAATTCTCTAATTTGATACCCGCTTGCCTTGACTTGCAAGAAACATAACAACATCCATACTCAGTGAACTGGGAAAACTTGAAGCAATATAAAGAAGGAAAAGACTTTAGGAATCGTCTGCTCTTCCTGTTTAGGAATTTGACTGATCCCATTTTCTAGTCTTATTTAACGTAGTAGTATTAGGATCATGTTTCACACAGCATAGCTTGAAGTGTTATGTCTGCTAATCTTGGATTTTTTTGAGAATCAGGAGCCCACTGGCCAAGATACAACTTATCAAATTACCATAGCCCAGACACTGGAATTCTTTTTCAAAGGTTTATAATAAAGCAGGAAGGTTTTTTTCCAGACTGATACTTGTCTGGCACGAGTTTGACTCTAAAGCAACATTATATAGAAAAATGTTTTAATGCAGGGGTGGGAGGATCGGGCAGAAGCCTGTTGTGGTCCTGTCTGTTAGAGATCTGTTGAGCAGAAGAGAAACTAAGAGGACACAACACTATTTGAGCCAGTGCCTCCAGTGTTTTTTGTCATTCTAATAAAAAGCAGCAATGGACTTTAAGCTTTAAAGAAGGCTTATTAGAGCAGTAGACTATATCTCACCAATGTATATAGAACTGTGGAAGCCAAGTAGCCCTGTGGGCTATGTCTATTTTAGTTGCAGCTTTCCAATGGCCAGGTGCATGGGACATGCACAAAATTTAAACATAAGTAGTTGTGTACTCATCTATCTACACAGAGATGTGCCTCTGTGTGTGCTTATCCATCTGCACTAGCTGTTCGGTTCTGCTTCTGTCACTCTTTGGGCCAGTGGTGCTTGCCCCACAGGAGGTAGAATGAAGCACATTGGTGGTTTGTGTAAGAGAGGCCAAAAGGGCCCCTCAAAACCAGTGTCTCCTTAGAAAATGGTACCCTGAACACTTAAAAGGACTCTGTGAAGCTCTGCTGATAAATATCATTGTGTACTGAAGGTCAGTAGTTTGTGTTGCAGCATTTTCATGCCAGGGCAAAAGAACCATCTGCTGGTTTAATAGTGATATACCCATCTGCCTTCGTGGCAACAGAGGAAGCTTACAATTAAAATTTTAGCTTCAGTTCATGTTGACTGAGTGTCCAGAGTTTCTCTGTAGCATGTGTAGTTTGTAATACACCCAGCAGTTGCTGTGCCCTCTGCAGCAGCCAGCTGCAACAAAGCAAGTCTGCAGTGCGGTTTGGAATATCTTTGCTTTCAGCAGTAGTTACTGTTTTTTCAAAGCAGCATTTCCATGACATTCCACCTCTTTCACTTTAGATGTGATGAGATGAAGTTAAATTGAACACTGAAATTAAAAAGCCTCCAGTTTCCAAGACTTATTTGTGGTGTGATTAATCTGAAAAACTTCACTGAGACAGGAGAGAGAAAAGGATTATTAACAGTCTTTCATTTGTCTTCACTCTTGTTTTTGGCAGGTTTCATCAAAAATTCTGTGTTTTGTTGGGGTTTCCTTTCATTGACCAAATAAATTTTCTTCTAACACCTTGTAATTTTCTTTTATTTTTTTATATAAACAAACTTCCATAGCTAGAACACTTCAGTTCTTAGATAGTAAAGCTTTCTTTTAGCTGCTGTATTGTTTAAGGAAAATTGAACTTAGAGCAGGAGTGGTTTTAACATATGGAGAGGCACAAGGAGTGTTGACAAGACTTTCACAGTAATGTCAGGCAATACCACACATGTATGGTGTGGTGCAAAATGAATGGGAAGGTTGCTGTATCCACTGGGGGAAAGCCCTGTCGCAGATTACCATGCATAAATTTTTCTGTTCCTATTTGAAATGTTCCCAATGTGGTGATGGTGTTTTCCCTGTGCAGTTCAGTTCAGAAAAAAAAGAAGAAGAATGGGTAGGGTAGGACTGGGCTGTTCTTACTTTTCAACACAATTTCCAGTTCTTGCTGTGGTTGACTTTTCATACAACTGGTTCTGCTAACAGAAGCAGAAATTCAGGTCTCAAAAGTATTTGTAGAGACCTCATATAAGACAAACATTGAATTCCTTTCCTACTTCACATAAAGTGTAAAACAAATTTATAAAAATAAATATATAAAGGAAATTACCTTGCCTTTGGTTCTTGTAAGGATTTTTAAGAGGGTTTAGTAGGCTTAATATGCTATGAGGTTAGAAGGAGAGAGAACTGGATGAATTGTTCCCTAGGAACTATATACTAACTCCTGAAAGGGGGAAATATCCTACTGCAGACTTAAGAGTTGCTGCCAAATAATCTCATTTCAGGGGATGGGCCAGCAAAATGGGACATCTGGCCCAGACGTCCCATTTTTCTGGAAATTCAGCAGAACTTGAAAATTCTGTGTTGCAGTTCTTTTACTCTATCTCCCATGTCATTTTACATTTATGATAAATATCTCACATAAAAGCATGTGATCATGGAGGAAATGCAGCAGCAACTCAAAAATGCCACTTCCATCGTCTGTAACATTTGCCTTTCTTGCACACACGTATTATGCTGCAGTCCTCAGTCATAGGAACATGCACACATTGTTCCCCCAAAGATACAATGTTCCTTGGCCAGAATGCACCTGTGGTATTGCAGACTTGATTCTTCCTTCTCCAGAAGGTTGCACCTTTGCTTTCAGTTATGCCAGTTGTTGGTATAGTCCTGCCCAAAGGGAATTCTTCACTTGCTGATGGTACTGTTTCTCATGAGTTTTTCCCAGCTCCAGTAGAAGGAATTACACCCTGAAGTCATCCAATCAGTCTTGATTTCAAAAACTGGTTTCTTCATTTGTTACATGCAAATCAGGCTGATTTTCAGCAGAAGAGTTTGTGATTGGTTGAAGATGCTCTGAAGAAAAGAGAAAAATGTATTAGGTCTTTTCTACTACATTCTTAAATAAGGGAAAAAAAACCCTTTCAGAATTGGTGTGATATAAATGTAACATAGAAATGAAGCAATGATCTATTTCCTACGGAAAGAAAAGTTGCTTACTTTTATGCTTTGGTGATGTTGTCAAGGGCTCTTGTTCTTTTAGAATTTTTTCCCCATACAGCAGCTGACAGCTCAGTGTGCCTGTGTGTACAGGCGACCTAAGAAGAGACTGACTCAACCCTTTTGATGAGCATCATTTTCTCAATCAACATTACGGGTAAGTATTCATCCTTTTTGACAGGGGTCTCATTAATGGCTGGCTGCAAACATCTCACACTTGGAAAAAGCATTAATAAAAAGCAATCTAAATTTCAGTAACAGCCTTTATGAAGGATAAACATCACATACATAACACATACAGATTTGGTCACTTGTGTCTCTTAGTAAAAGTTTCTCATTCATTACATAAAATATGCTGTAAATATTGGTGTCTTCATGTCTTGTTGCACAAAGAGCAGTCTAGCTCTTGGTGTAGAAATTGAGAAAAGCAAGACACAGATTCAGCTGCTTGAGTTTTGAGTTTTAAGTGTGATTTTTGGCATGGTGGGCTGAATATTTTGGCTGAAAGAATTAGAGAGGGGCCAAGATTATTGCCCAAAATGTGAAATACAATCTGTCAAAAGGAAACATCCCAACTCTGTTTTCCTTCTGGTTTCTTAAAAGTGTAAGCTCCTGGAAAATGTATTATTTCATAAATAATACATTCATCCTGTGACAAAAAACTTTTTTCATGTTTGTGTGCTAATCAATCAGCTGTCTACCCTAACTTGTTGTCTCCTGTGTTCCTGCATGGACATAATAATATGTAAATAATAATAATAATAATAATAATAATAATAATAATAATAATAAAATTCTTACAGGCTCTTTTCTAGGTAGAATAGCAGCCAGTAAGGAAGGCTTAGCTGCTTCTGAAGGGTGGTTATAGCCAAAGTGTGTTCAAGGCTTCACACCTCTTCCTATATTCTCACGTAGCTGGAATTACTGAGCTGGCACACAGTGACACGTGCAGAGGAGCTCAGGGTGGGTAGGTGACAGACCATGATGTTGCCATTTGGGTGTTGTGTTGGAGACCTGGCTGTCACAGCAGAGGAATTACTTGGACTCAGTCCATTCTTTGGAATTGGTCATACAGGCATCAGCCTCAACTATTGATATCAACAGGCCAGGAACAGCATGGTGTTGCTTGGAAAAAGTGGAGAAAGACATGTTTCTTTTGAGTTTTCTTCTCCTGAGCTTGCTGTCAGTAATTGAGATTCTCTGTGCATGGATTTCATTACACAGTCACAGAATACATTTTTTCCCCTTTAATCATAAATCCTTTTTTTCTAAGAAGGCAAGCAAGCAGAGTAAATGCAAACATACATAGTTTTTGAAAAGAAAATACTTTTCAGCCTAATGATGCCAATACCACTGCTGGTTCCCTAAACTACATTGAGATCTTCTACCTGCAAAGCCTTTTGAAAAACCAAAATACACCTAACTGCTATCCCCATGACTGTTGTTTTCAGCCATCCCAAAGACATACATTTGTGGGGAGAAAGGAATGAGAAAAGGATTGGTGGGGCTTTTTCTAAATAGAATTACAAGTGGTCCTCCTTAACTTTTAGTTTGTTTTAAATAAAAGCAACAATTTCTTGACTCAATAAGAAATGAGACAAAAAGTCTATGAGGAGTTATTCAAAATAAATTACACCACTGTCTTCAGATGTCCATAATCTGGTCCTTACTGATAGCTGGGAAGGGGTAAAAAAATACTATTTTATTTATGTCCCCTAGACAGTTGCCTTTGGGTGTTTGCATAGGAAGATAACCAGATTTCCGATCTGTTTATAGGGATGTTTAGAATCTTTCCACACGCTTCTACTGAAGATGAAGATTGAAATACCAGTCTTGAGGTTCAGCTTTCAGCTATCTCATGCATTCTTCTTTTCTAGTTACAGCAACCCCTCCTGTTTGGTGACTCAGCTCCACCAAAGGTTACTGTCATTGAGGTCAAAAGGAGTCAAGTTGAAAGACACCTAGTGCAAAGCTGTTTAATGTAATCTCATTTACTTGTTAATTTGGCCTGAGATTCAGTAAATCATTTTCATCTAGACTTGTACAAGCAGCCAGCATGGAAAAGTGTCTGCATTGCATTTCAGCAATCTTGATACTCTGAATCTCAGTCATCATGTCTGGTTTCTGCTACCTCTGGCAACAACGTCATCTCATACATTTCAGAAACTAATTAGGAGATTCCATTTCCTGTCACTTCCACGTCTGCTTGTTAATACTGCAGGGCCTTCTCACTTGCAAAGCATAATAAAATACCAGGAACATCCCAAATTTAAGTTGTCCTTTGTCAGAGAGTTGCAAAAACTGTAAATGTCAATATAATTACAGATTATATATTTTAGGCTTTTTAAGATCCTGTAATATCTTCCCCATGGACAGAAAGCAGGGACTTACTGTTGTAACAGAAATCAAGTTGAAGATTGAAGTATGTGTAGCATATTCCATGAAGTGGCTGAGTAATGGCTGAAGGCTCTCCTTCTGCTGTCCTTTCATGAAAAATGGTGAGGTTGAGCTAAAACTTCAGCCAGTTATGCTACAATGCACTTGAAACACACAAGTTTTGTCCGTTTCTCCAAATAGAATAATTCTTACAGGACTACAGAATATGAATCTGAAATGGACTGTAAACCAAGAGCAGTCGAATGAAAAATCAACTGCATAAAGAGAAGGCAGTAGTATTCACTACTTTTTATCAATTTTCTCTACATGTGTTGATGAATTTAGGATTTCCAGAAATGCCAGACCACACTGCACTAGAGACAAGAAAGTATTTGTTAAGCAAAACATGACATTTTCATTGATACCGCACTGCAACAGAGTTGTGTCAGCACTGCCACAGCTGCTTTGTGGTCCTGTTTTGGTGTCACTGCCCTGGGTGTTGGGGGCACACAGGAAGTCTTTCCTTGGCACCTCCTCAGAGAAGCCCTGTAGCTGAGCATGCTCATGGCAGCTGTTTCTGTGTTATATCCTGGACCTGTGGTGATTGTCACCTTTTTCCGCTGGCTGCTGGACTCGGACGTGACAATGTACTGTCTTGCTCTGAAAGGATGCTGAGTGTGGGATATGTGTGATGACATGATGGTCCCATGGCAACAGGCTGTGATATCATCATTGCCAGATGGTGAATTCTTTCAGGGACATATCAGAAAGAACAGCTGTGTTGTGCTGTAGAAAATCCTTACTCCAGAACTGCTCTTCTCTGTCACCACAGAAAACAGAGAAAATGACAGACAAAATTTTCCCTCCTTTGATTTTCCTGTTGAGCAGATCCCTCTCCAGGTCACCTACAGCTCCATGTATCTCCAGAGTGCAAAAGTGCTTTATAGAGAACTTCTAACAAGATTAGTGTTTTTCCCTTCCTGAGTGTTTTACTTTACAAACATGCTTTAGAAAGTCCTGTACTTTCTCTGTCAACAGCAGTTAAATCTTGTTTAAAAGCAGAAAAAGAGCTGCCTTATCATCTCTTCCCTTCAGAAGCTCTTTTAGTCTAGCTGTGTTACTTGCATTTTCAAGTCTTAACAAAATGAAATCTGTTTCTTTGGCATGGTTAGAGCTAAAGCTTTTTTGTGGTAAACACATTGATAATAATTTGCAGCACTAGTGATTTGTGTTACTTCTGGAAACTGTCATTCCAGGCACAGCCTGCGGTGTGATAGTCCCCATCAGCATGATGGAACTGTCCACCTCAATCCAAGAAGATAGAACATCCTACTGGATTAAAATACACCAACTGCTTATATTGTTGGAATTTTTTAAATACCTTACTTAAAAGAAGTAATTAAAACAATTTTGTTTTGCTACTTCAACTTCCTTCATGACAGGCTTTTGAAGTCTGAATTTATGTAAAACTGTTAAAACACTAAAAAAATATAGCAGATCCTCAAGTACAATGCAGATTTTTTTCATTCTAGTAAGGTGCCCAAAAC